ACAAAAATCCCAGTTGTAGCTACTCACAACTTCTTACAAAATAGTTACTTACAAAAGTTCATCTTCCACACCTTCGCTGCCACAGAGACATCGTTCTATGATTGTTTTAAATTGTGACCATGTTTAAGCCCCACAGGTAGTTCTCAATAAATTAAGTCAAATAGAAAGTCATGACTTGGCCTGAATCTGGCCTCCATTCAACTATTACGTGTAGATTTAATTGACCAAGGTTACCTCTTCCTTATGTATTCCTCTGTCCTCTACCTGGGACAGCTAATGATTTCACCCTAAGATCATTAATAGTTGGCCCTGTGGTTCACATCTGTAATCCTAGCTACTCAGAAGGCTGAGAACTGAGGATCACAGTTCAAGCCAGACCAGGCAAGAAAGTCCTTGAGACTTTTATCTCCAATTAACCACTAGAAAACCAGAAGTGGCACTGTGGCTCAAATGGTAGAGTTCTACCCTGGAGCTAAAGAGCTGAGGGACAGTGCTCAGGCCCAGAGTTCAAACCCCATGACCAACAGAAAAAAATCATTAATACCTTTGACAGTGTTGACATGCTATTATTCTTCTCCATTACTATACAAGATTACTGAGTCCTCCCATTCTCCACAGTGAGGAAAAGGGACATCTGTTTGTACAGTCCTAAATCCCAGCCCAAGTTCTATCACCAGAAGGTATTCCATTCATATCTGTTAAATAAACATTTGTTGATTTTTGGTATCTGTTCTTCACTGGTTGTGATATATTTGTATGTCCAATGGGAAGATGACATCATAGAAGCTGTGTTGACAATTCAGTGTTTTAAGCCCTGTTAATAGTCTGTCCATTTGCTCTATTCTATATCACTTTCTTATCCTTAGACTTTTGGCTACAGTTTGAAATGGTTAGCTAAAGCTAATAGGGAAACTAAAAGGTAATCACCAACATTGTCTTTATCTAATAGGGAAACTAAAAGGTAATCACCATCATTGCCTTTATCTAATATGGTCTTCCTTGAACAAGTATGTTGCATTTCAGGAAGGCAATTTTTGTTCAATTTACTATTTGTTTTTTACATTTATGTTGTGAAAAATCTGGAATTCTTTACTACATCTGGAAAAAAGTGCCTTTTAAGTATAAAACTAGTGGTTATCCCGGACAACTACTATCACCCAATAGAGATTTAATTTGAGCCACAACATTAGCCACATATATAATTTAAAAAATGTGTGGTCACCTTCAAAAATGTGAGAAGAAACATAGGAAATTATTTTTAAAAATTCATTATGTTCCACCCATTTCAATACATCCAAACTATAAAATGTATTAACGTAATCCTTTGGACACATTTTTGCATAAAGTCTTAGGAATTTACTGTGTATTTTATTCCTACAACTTATCTCAGTTGGGATTTAAGTGGCACATCATGATCTTGGTTCTAGTTAACTTGCATTTTCTGAGTCTTTAATATGCTGTGGGCCTTACCTGAATTCTTTTCATCGGTCTTCACAAATCTACAGTTTATACCCCCCAATTCATTGTATATGTGAGCACACTGACATTAAAAAGCTGGTCATTCGTCTGAGAATTGCTATTGGCTCTTATGGTCTTTGGACCACAGATCTGAAACAAGAGTGGTGGGAAAAGACCATGTGACAACGTCTGCGGTATTCTGAAAGGTGATGTTGACGATTATACCCACAGACAGAGGCAAACGTCACCGCAGATCAAAAAACGACAGCAAAAATACGTGAAAGAAGGAAACAATCCAAATGAAAACCTGGGAGAAAGGAGCAAGATTAGTTTACCAACTGAAACAGTGCCACCCTTGTACCTATCCCAGAGTTCATTTACTCCCTGCCAGGGTCCTTGTGTGGCAGCCACTGCATTGCCACATACTTAGAACTGAATGGCTTCTCTTCCTTTTATCTGCTACACGGAATTTGGGTAAAAGTATATACTATACTGACTGGGATGAATTAAAGCCAAAGTCTCTGAGCAACTCTGATGCCATGGCTTTGTTACAAAGGTCTGTAAAATATTACCCTGGTGTCATGGATTATACAATGTGCACAAATGGCAGTTTCCTCCTTCTGCTTCACACAATATTAAAAAAGAGTAAAATATGTTTCCCATTGCAATTCCCTTGTGCTTGGGGACTCAATGAACTCACTTTAAGTTTCCATGTCTTTATAAAACTGTTTTGTTTTTCACTGAAACATGGTTTTGATCAAGAACATAATTTTGTGATTGCGTGTGTGTTTCTGAAACAAATATGTACGTGGGATCTTACATGGAGGAAGGCTTAAGTTCCGGTGGCTGATCCCAAGACAGGAGACTCTTGAGTTCTAAATTCAGCCAAGCACACCATCAGACATGCTCATGAGAAAAAAATCAGCTTCTGTCTTTACTAACCAATCTCTTGCACTCTTTCTGTCTCTTCTTTCTGGATTCAAAGAACTGGAACTACAAATGAATCATACCAAATTTAAATTTCTATTTAGATTTCTTGTCATTTCTGGTAAGCTATCTAGGAAATTAAATGTTAAATTCATAGAATATTCAACTTCAAAGAGCTATGCAACCAATTTTTTTCCATGTGTTGGAATGAGAAGCTCATCATTAAATATATTGTATGAATAATAAGATATATTATCCTGTTTAGACAATAGAGATTTCGTGAGGCAGGTAGAAAATATAATTCCTTTAATTCAGTTAATACTGGCACTAATCACAAAACAGTTTGTCATTCAAAACTCTTATTAGATCCTTTACGAACTGCTTTATACATGTCTCATTTAATTATGATTTAGTAGAGACTTAATCCAGAGATGCAATTCTAGTGGATCACAACCAAGATTGACTATGGTTCCTTGCCCCAGAAATCAATCAGAAATTAATGCTAGTGAGGCAAGAAAGGACTTGAATCAATGTGGCCACATTGTGAAGATAGGTATCAAGTACATTGTCCTGTCTTTGGAGTGTCAGCATGAGCTTTAAGTTTAAACATAGGAATAATTTGGGTTGAAGGTAAGAGGAATGGATAAGTAAGCAGTGTTGATCAAATTGTGATCTGATGGGTCGCCATCTCAGACTCTGCTCTGTGGTCACTCTAGACAAGTCTTTATCCCTGGAGGAGACAATCCAGTTTCTGTGAGATGATTTCTCTTATGTGGGGGACAGAGAGGACAGCCATCATGGAGTAATTGCTCCCTTTTAGAGATGGATGTCATCATGAGGTGATCTGGTCTGGGAGGTGCTCTGTTTCTGGAATCCCAGGTGACTGCAGGTTTTAAGCAGTGACTGGAGACCACAAGCACCATTTTGGGAAGAGGTGTGGAAAAGCTGTAAAAAGCTGACAGCAAAATATCTCTGCTACCCGTGCCTTCAGCCTTGACGGGGATGAGCTAGTTTGAGTATATTGAGGCCTAATCACTCTGTATGGCCAGTTTTTTAGACAGGCACTCCTTAAGTGATTAACATGCCTAAGTGTAGAATGGAGCAAGAAAAGATCCAAACTAAAGGAGACAGATATAAGGTAAAGGGAGAGAGAGATCCCAGGTTTTTTTTTTCTTCTTTTTGTTACTTTGTGGATTCCAGTGAGGAGATAATTTTCTTTTTAACAGTTTCTTAACTACATGTTATAATATTATCTGTTGAATGAATGAGTATATTAGATATTCCAGAGCTACAAAGTTAATCAGTGGCAGAGGCAGTGTTAAATCAAGACAATATAAAACCATTGGCTTGTGACCAGCAGTTTATATAGGCTTTAGATGTACTTTGCTGAATTCATAGAAATAATTCTTGGTAGTATGCAGAACACTCAACATTGTATGGGGGAGGGGGTTAAAATCCTGTTACAATTGCCACATATTTTTGCTACTTCAGTGAAGAAAAGAAATAAATTAGTAGAAATAGCTAATTTGTGCTGTAACCTTTTTTTTTCTTTAAAAATTACTCTGGTTGAGCTAGGTGCCCATGGCTTCCATTTGTAATCCTAACTACTCCGCAGGTTGAGATCTGAGGATCTTATTTTGAAGCCAGCCCAGGTACAAGAGTCTGTGAGACAGTCCTCTCCAGTTAACTACTGAAAAGCTGGAAGTGGAGCTCTGGCTTAAGTGGTAGAGCACCAGTCTTGAGTTTTTCTGTTTAATTTAGCATAATGTTTTCAAGGTTTATCTACATAGTAATACATTGTAGGAGTCTTTTATACGTATTCCACGATTTATTTCTCTATTCATCCACTGAGGGTCATTTGAACTATTTCTGCCTTTTGGCTATTGTGACTATACTTATCTGAGTGTGTATTTTCTATTTGAAGGGAATTCCTGGGTTGCAGACTAATTCTATGTTTGCATCTTTTAGGCACTACAAAACTATTTTCCCCACCATTTTTTTTTTGTTTTTTTGTTTCTCCACCAGTAATGAGAGGGAGTTCCAACTTCTCCAAATCCTCAGAAACTTGCTGGGTTTTGTTTTTTGCCCTCTTGCTTGCTTGTCTGTTGTCTCCATACTAACACCATTTTCATACATTTATTAACCTTTTATATGTCTTTCATGGAGGCATATGTATTCACGGTTTTTACTCCTATTTTGCTGTGGAAATATAATTGCTATTTGTATTTGCTATTTTGAATGTTAACCTTTTCAACAACCTAGTTAGCAAATACTTATTTCATTTTGTACATTAACTTTTCACTTTCTTGATAATGTCATTTGATACAGAAAAGCTTTGGTAAATTCTAGTTTTTCTATTTTATACATGTATTTATATGTCATATCTATATATTTTTATCACATTATATATGGCACATATGTTATTGTCCATACTTTTGGTGTCATATCTAAGAAGCTATAATCAAATCTGAGACCATGGCAATTTATCCTTCTAATAATTTTATGATTTTTAGTTCATATTTAGGGCACTGGCTTAAGTTAATTTTTTTAATGTGGTATGGAATAGAGATCCTGTTTTCTTCTCTTCACTTAGTTTTTCTTTTGTTCCTTCTTAGGAACCCTTGAAAACAAGGGACTGCATATTTTTAATCTGACTTCTCTAACCAAGTCTGAAAACATTTTGTCTGCCACACTGTACTTCTATATTGGAGAGCTTGCCAACATCAGCCTGAAAATTTGTCCATTGTCTGAAGGATGTTCTGATCATGCTCAGAGGAAACACATTCAGCTAGATCTCGCTGCATGGATCCTCAAACCCAACCCAAACCAAAATCATCTACTGGGTCATTTGTCAGTCGATGTAGCTAAGCCTCATCGAGAAATCATGTCCTGGCTCTCTAAAGACATCACTCAGCTCTTGAGAAAAGCCAAAGGAAATGAAGAGTTTCTCATAGGATTCAACATTTCCTCCAAAGCCCATGAGCTGCCAAAGACGATGTTATCTTTTCAGAAGCCTTATATCTTGGTATATGCCAACGATGCTGCTATTTCTGAGCCAGAAAGTGTGGTCTCAAGCTTGCAGGGACATCGTAATTTCCCCACAGGAGTTGTGCCCAAACTAGATAGCCACATCAGAGCTGCCCTTTCTGTGGAACGAAGGAAGAAACGCTCTGCTGGGATCTTGCTACCTCTGCAGAACAATGAGCTTCCTGGGGCAGAGTATCAGTACAAGGAGGATGGAGTGTGGGAGGAGAGAAAGCCCTATAAGACCCTTCAGACTCAGTCCCCAGAGAAGAGTAAGAACAAAAAGAAACAGAGGAAAGGACCTCACCAGAAGAGCCAGACACTCCAGTTCGATGAACAGACTCTCAAGAAGGCAAGAAGAAAGCAATGGATTGAACCTCGAAATTGTGCCAGGAGATACCTTAAAGTAGACTTTGCAGACATTGGCTGGAGTGAATGGATCATCTCACCCAAGTCTTTTGATGCTTATTATTGCTCTGGAGCCTGCCAGTTTCCTATGCCAAAGGTAATTATTGCTCTGGGTCCTGTACTTCCTTCCTATTTCCATTGCGTAAAAGGCACACTGAGTAAGTTAAAGTGTGTGTGTGTGTGTGTGTGTGTGTGTGTCTATGCATGCACCATCTGTCCCCTTATAGATTACATTCTCAAGTGTAGCAAGTCCTATGGCTATGCTTGAGTATTTTTTTTAACAATTGTTAAAGTAAGATGAGGTCAGCACTGGCATGAAGGGTATAAAAATGTTAGGGATAAAAGAAGTATTTTGCATGGCTTCCAAACATGAAAAAATAGCATGTTTAGCTGTGTGGTCACATGTGAATCAACACCTGTCCATACTGTAAGCTAGTCCCAAACGGAAGAAGGCTGATATTTCAAGAACATTCAGAGAAGAGGTGAATATGGTGGAAACAAAGGAAATAACTCGGAGATTTATGCCACCAAATGAAGTCCAGAAATTACCCATCTATGCCCCAAATCAGTATGAACTGTATTGTACTATATCTGTACTCAGCAAACTGGCAAATGTATTCTACACGTCTCTCTAACTCTCCATTGACAGTTCTCTTTGAAGGTAGACTGTAGCTATACTCTAGTAAATAGTAAAATGCAGTCCTACTTACTCTCCAGCATTTGTCTAAACTTGTTGCTGCGCCTCTATTCTCAGCTTGAAACGCTTTAACTCACTGTTATACAAGGAAAATTCCCTTAACAGAATTCAGAGGAAAAAAAGAGGTTTTTAAAAGATCATTTATCTCCAAATTTCTTCTCCTAGGTCTTTATAACAGTGTTTTTACATTCTTGTTCTATAAGCATTGGGTAACAGATATGTAAAAAATCAAGAGTGAGTGTACAAGGCCTGTTCATTCTCAGGGCAAGAAACCTGACTGAAATTCCATTTTTCTTGGTAGAATGTGTCAGAAAAATGAGCGTCTTTCATTTTCTAGGATTTGTCTATACCCAAAATTTTTGATGATTTTGTGTTTGTAAACACAAAGTCCAGATAATGTACACTCACAATGATTTAAAGAACATTTACCATGTCTAAAGAATTATAACAAACGAAACATGTAAAAACCCTACACAGCAAAGATGACAAATGTCACAAACAGAGATGAATTCTTCTTTTACAGAGTAAATTACCTGTGGCATTGAGAAACAGCAATGGATACACAATCTGTTTTTAAGCCCAGGATGACTGATTTTAGGTGGGCCTTAGGCTTTTCCAAATAATCTCTCATGTATCCTGTAATTTCTCCCAGGTAGCCTGGGGATGAAGTTTTCTCTTCCCTCTGAGCTTCCACTTTTAAGTCCCTGAGAGCTGTTGAGAACTGGCCCAAGCTCTGGAAAACTGGCTCAGCCTCTATTCCTCCCCAATTCCTCTCCGTTCACCTTGGTTCTATGCACTTGTACTGTTCAAAACCCTGTTGCTTCAAAACAGCTTCACTATGGTTCTCAGAGATCTAAGGAATCATAACTTAAAACTTAACAAGGGGTAAGTTAAGAATAGCAAATATAAATTTCAGGAGAGAAATATGTTAGTGTGGCAGAATCATTAAACAGATCCTAACAGAGTTGCAAATGTGCCCATAAACTGCCTGGGATCGTGTTAATATACAGGTTCTGATCCAGGGCATTTGGAGAAAGGAACTAAGATTCGGCACATTTAACAAGCTCCGGGATGATACTGACACTGCCTATCTACATATTGGACTTGCAATAGTAACATTGAAAATTAAATCCTTCTGGCTTGAATCTTGCTTCTACCATCGACTAGTAACAATTATTTGGCTCAGTTACTCAAACTGTCTACCTATTAGTTTTATCATCCTGAATGGGTAAAATAGTAACAAAAGTAATAATACCAACAGAATGATAATCGTAGGAAAACACTCCTAAGAGCACTACGTAAATAGCAGATATGCGGGTAAATATTTGGTATTGACATCATGAATGACCAGTGTTGAAACTGAGAAAAACAGAAAGCTAAATGTTGATGGCTGGAAGTAGATTACATAGGAAAAAGGAGTACAAAAATTCCAACTGTACGGCAAGACAAAAGTTTTGTGAACGTTTCTAGTCTCTTTTCAAACATCACCAAGTTGAAAATAGGATTCTTACATGAATGTGACAGCCTGCTAGCTGTTCAGTGAGGCAGGCTTCTTTGAAGAATAATAAGACAGTGTTCATTGCAACAACTGGACTCATCATGCTGTTTGTCAAAACTTGGAATAGCATCAGAGCTCCAGGGAGACATAACAGGGATCAGTGGGAAGGTTATTTTCTGAGCTTCAGGTTTCCTTCTGCCAAGTTGAGAGTAGAAGTTTGGCTGTCGCCAATAGTTCTCGGTCTCTCACCTTGTGTGGAGTGGCTTAACTTTTAAAGCTTTCTAGTGGTTCTCTTTTCAGGCTTCCAGGGTTTGTGTCTTTCAAGTAGTACAGTAAGCAAAAGGATGGGGGTGGGGGAACATGAAGTAAAAGGAATGGATAAATAATAAATATCACTATCCACACAGTGTCTAATAGGACATCCCAAGAAAATTACTTAAGAATGCAATCTGACCAACAAAGGAAAAGGAAGGTATTTGATCAGATCGGTACAATAGACAAGTAATAACTGAAGTGCCATTTTTTTTCAGACTTTTAGATATACATTTTGTCCCAGAGGAAAGTTCTCCCAGGCTACACTCTTCTGTTAGCCCTCTTCCCCCTCCCCGCCCCCTCCTGGGCAAAAGCTTGCTCTATATGGCTGGGCGCTCTGTCTGCAAAACTTGACAACCTGCTCTGTAATGCAGAACAGCTGTGTTTCTGTCTTTCCCAGATTCTAAGCTTTGCCCTTTCACTGATTCCAATTAGATAGTTTCTGGGCCATCACACCCATATGGGCTGGACTGCAAGAGTGTGGAGCAAAACCTCATGGGCTAGGTCAGGAATGAAGGCTCTTAGCTGATGACATACTCTTGATAGCTAATGCATTTGTAATCAAATTCAACTCGAGGAGCTTGGCAGGTGCATGCTTGACCACTACAGATTTCATTCACGCAGCAGTTTGGATTTTTTAAAACAATTTCCAGCCCTTACAGCCAATCTGTTCTCTCAGAGAGAGACTCTTGGAATGCTGTCATGAGATGAAAAATATCCAGATAGTTAAAGCCAAGTTCCATGCGTCTGCCTCCCTCACCAGCTCAGCAGAGATGGAAAACAGAAATTTCAAGTGAAAATGATAGAGCCCTTGCTGCTGACAGAGATCCAAGAAACCCACAAGGGTTAGAGGAATGAAGTTATTTTTGCAAGGAATGGTGCAAAAGCTAGAAATAGTGAAGATAAAGAAATAGGCACAAATCATTAAAAAAAAATGAACCAAGTATCTTTTTTTTGGGGGGGGGTCTGGTCGTGGGGCTTGAACTCTGGGCCTGGGCGCTGTCCCTCAGCTCTTCAACTCAAGGCTAGCACTCTACCACTTGAGCCACAGCGCCACTTCCGGCTTTT